AAAAAGGACTCGAAGACAATGTTTTTACTTCAGTCTTCAGTAACTGTTAACACTATGATACAATAAACCAAATAATGGGGGCAATGAAAGCTGCTGTGTTAAGAAACCGGGGCGATTTTTCAAAAAATTATATAACATCAAAAGTATGAGGTCAAAGACTGATCGAGCGCTTCCAAATCCAGGCTTCGAATCTTCTCATGGGGCGCTATTTTTATTGTGGAAAGTCAGCAAATTGGCGTACGAAACGACTTCCATCTTGACCGTTGAAATGTAAAGCTTGGTACTGCAGACCATTTTCCCTTGTGTTGTTTCCGACCTTCTTGGTTTGTCTTCTCTTTGTCAACTGTTCTATAGGCTGTTGGTTTATATCGCGATGTACTTTATGTAGGATGTTCTTTACCACTCGCTGTGTAAATGGGCCCTTAGGACAATATTTAGCCAGATTAATGCAGTTGGCAGTACGCTTAAGTGGAAGACTTGTTGGGCATTTGCCGATGTTAATTCTAGTCAGTTTTAATTAAGGTGATTTAGTAGTTTGAGGATCAGAGAACCTGAGTGTTTAGTGGTGCAATGGTGATGGGTGTATACATTCTACAAATAGTAGGTTAGTAGCTTTCATTGAAAAAGAGACTCCCAAAAAGTGTTTGTGATAAAATAAGGTCAATGCCATCAATTAATTTTGTTTGCTTGTTTACAATTCGCTTGTACAATCGAAAGGCCACTCCTCTGTATATCACCACTTAAGGTTGATAAGATAAGCCAACGCTTTATATACTGCATAAAGTGTCGGGTTTGCACAATGCTAGTCTGTGTAAATATTTGACGTGGTTTTTATTTACTTGTGTTAATTCTATAAAATTACCCAGTGTGAAAATTTAAAGTGCGTCGTTGCCTATAATTTTTGTGATATCAAATGGTCGATCGGAAAATTAAAAACAAACATTCAATGTAAAAGTTCGCAAGGAAAATGTAACAATACATAAGATGTCTGTTCTATACTCTTACATAAATATGCTTGATCCGTAATTTGCTAGGTTTGATAGTAAGCCACAGTTTCGTTTTGTTTATATATATGTGTGTGTGTGTTTTTTCTTTCACCATGATCGCACTAATATTTTTGGAATCTTGCATCGA